GTGTGTGTGTGTGTGTGTGTGTGTGTGTGTGTGTGTGTGTGTGTGTGCTTCGTGGGTGTTTTTCCAGCATATACAGACACTCAACCTTTTTTTTTCTATTTCTTTTTTTTTTACTCTTACTCAATAGCAAGAATTATCTTTCTGGGCAAGACCTGAGAATAAAAACACAGACACAAAGTTTTACTGTCTCAGTTACGCAATGCACATGATAATCTCTCATGTTTGGAACTCAACGGCATTTTATTCTAACTAAATCACAACACTTCTATCATAGCATTTTCCACACAGAGACTGAGATATAATATCAATAAAATAGTCCCTAAAATGCTGTTTTGGAACCCTTCATTTCAGAGACACAGTTGGACTTCAAGTGAATCAAGATGGAATAAATACAGTTCTACTGCACAATTCAAGAGTTTGTTGACGCTACTGAGCTAATCTTTGGTGTGTGGCTATTCGACAAAATATGCGAGATTGAGGGCATGAACGTTTTTTGGCTGCCTTTTTGCAAACAACTTTAACTTCCAAGATTCCGCAGCTCCCCTTGTTCTTGTCGAAGCGCTAAACGAAAACCCCTGTCCACTCTCATTCTTACAAGCCCGCGTGTGGAGATGAGGCTGCAGAGAGACAACAGCCAAAAGTTCCCCAGGCAATAAAAGTAATCAGTTATACCTGATCCAATTTGCTGGCGGCGGTTTTTCGGTTCTCTCCATCATTTAGCCGGCAAATGCTCCCGCCTGCACTGCCTGAAATGAGAACCCTGAAGCGGCCTGGTGGCCTTCGGGTTAAGATGCATGCCATGTGGCCACAATGTTCTAGGTTAAATTCTCCCCCTCTTAGTCAACAGTCACCAGAAAATAAAAACAAGTCGTAAATAACTTTAGAAAAAAAAAGGAGAAGGGCCGATAACCAAATGAGACAAATGATCAGCTACTTTTTATAAACTGATGCAGGTCTTTCTCATGCTCCGTTGCCTCTGCTTCTATTTCTACTGCTGGCTGCTATCTGCAAATACAATGACCGCATTTAACCTAGAGGGAAGATTTCATCAAGCTTAATCTTTTTCAAATATGATTCATAGCACAACCATCTTCATTTACAGAACACCGTCCGGAGGACTCTCTTTGCACATGGTTTCTAAATCTCAGTTCAGCGTGCTGAGGGAGGTGGAGCAAACCGAGGGAAAAAGTGAGTATAAATGCAGACTGAAGAGCTGTCACTCCCTTGGTGCTTTTAACACCACGCGCGCTCACAGCAGGGGGAAACGATGGGAGCAGACAGTCAAGTGTTTTTCGGCTAGGCGGAACATATATGGGTCATGAATATTAACGCAAACCAGTTGGTGGCTGAGAGATATGTGGGTTCGGTGTCATGCTGTCAGGCAAAAAAGGAAGAGCGTTTGGTTTGCGCGAGTGTCTGTGTGTGGGGGGGGGAGCGCCCGCGAAGGAGTGTACGACCAATTAGCGGCAATAAACTGTCCCGAACTCGCTCATTGTCAACAGTCTTAACAGGCGGAGGAATGGATGAGCCGTGAGCCCTGCGTTTCAACACACACCCATGGAGCTAATCAGTAGATGAATAACCTCTCAGCTTGACATGCCACGCTGAGCACACACAAAAACAGACAAGCACGCACACATACCCAAGGCAAACAGTTTGTCTATGAGCGTCATCAATCAGCTTGTCTCAGGGAAGGTGAGGAAGGTAAAGACCAGGCCATGGAGGGAGTGTCGGGGAATGAGGAATATCAGGGAGAAGGCGGGAGAGCAGACGAGAGGCCACGCGATGACCGGGGCACAGCCACCCGACAGCAAGAGAGGCTATCATCATGGAATCCCAGTGTTTGTTTATCTGCACGCAACGTCACCAAAAAAAGAAAACAAGAGCACCAATATCCGCATACTTTTGTATTCTTTCGGTCCGTGTCTTTGTTCTGCAGCGCACAATGATATCCCGGACAATAGCACGCCAAGGTTCAGGGAAGGTCTTTTCCTGTTTAAGCACGACAATGTCCTCGGCAGCACAAAGCAAGGGACGAAGAGAATAGCGCTCCAAACTTCGGTCTGGCCTGCAACGAAACCCTGACCTCGATCTCACAGAAACTCGTCCGATGACTCAAAATGCTGACTGGGAGCCAGGTGTACATCAGTGGGACGACTTCATCTGTGCTGAATGAATTAAAAAAAAAATGTTAAGGCCTGATGGAGCGGCAACAACACCTGTGGATTTGGAATGAACTTTTTAGGTTATTTCATATGAATGTAAGGCCTTTGTGCAAAGCGCAGATGTTCAAAAAGGAAGCCGATGCAGAGGTGCCTCAAACCTAAGAGAAGCCCCGGCTGCCACAAGAGAAGAATTTTGCACGGGAGTTCCTGAGAAAATGTAAATTTTAAACATTTTGATTTGCGACCCCCATTAACATTTTCTTAATGAGTTTATTATCTTATTGACCTGTTCATTCTCTAATAGAAGATTAGCTCAGTTGTGTAAATTATGGCTGAAATTAGAGTAGAATATATGATAAAGAATATGACAGATGTATGATACGCCACTACCCAGCATAAGTCCGCAGGGTTGTTGTTCAGATTCTCTGGTCAGACTGGAGTCCAACTGAAGGCTGATATCACTACGGCTAAAACCATTTGGGTCTCCAAAGTTTGGAACTTTTGAGACCCAAATATTGCACTTGATGAGGACAGGTCTGGCTAGACTGTGACGAGGTCGCCGCCAAGTTCACATGGACCGAATCGGCTTCATTTGTCAGCTAAATAATCCCATGAGGGACACCGACATCCGAAAAGCCGGGGAGCACCGAGGGTTTATCATCTACAAGAAAAAATAGACTGAGAGGGAGAACTGAAAGGAGAAACGGGATGGAATGATTAAAACAGACAGAAAGTGAGAGAGCTCACTCCCAGCTGCACCCGTGTCTGCTTCCTAGTGTCACCCAGAGACAAGAGTTAATAGGCCAGCTTTCTACCTCGGCTTTTTCAGCAACCCAATGCAGAGAGCTGCTTCACTGCAGAGCCTCCAGCTACACTACCGGCAATTTGTCTTTTTGCCAACGCAGGGTTTTTCCCCCGTTGCTTTTTTTTTTCCCTCTCTCTCCCTCTCTATCTCTCCTTCTTTCTTTTGCTAAATCAACACTTCTCGAGCAAACACAGCCCAAATCTGCTATCGGGCACATTCGATGTGCTAAGGGTGGCATTTTTAAGACGGGGAAGTCATCGGCATGTTCGCCTGGATAGATTAGTCTCATTATCATAAACAAGTACGATTTTAACAAGAGACTTATGGCAGCCGGCAGGAAGACGCAAAAGCCCAGAGAAATGTGGATGATCGCTTTAGTGTGCGGAACAGGAAGCGTGAGCGAGTGCAGGTGGTGAAATAACACAGTGACAGAGTAATCAATTAGTGCGCCTGGGTGTCTGTGCCGCTTACTTTTTCGGCGATTTACAGAGGCCTGCCGAGGTGCTATCGGAAGACAACTGTGTCTGCCGACATCTGTTTCCGTCTGTGGGTAAAACTCAATCAGGTGGGATTCCTCCATCTAACTAAGGCTTACGGCAAAAGCGAAAACAAAGCAAAGGCCTGACTGTAGTGATGACAACACTTCCTGTCACACAAACATCTGTAAAGTCTGACGTTCAAACATGCCGGCACGTACAACACGGAAAATATATATAAAAAACGCATGCTGGATCTTTCTTTGTACTTTAATTTAGTGTCTTTTTTCATGTCACTTGCTCATTAAGCTTCTTCTCCTGTTAATCGGAAAAGAAACCGCAGCCCAGCCACAGCCAGATGTGCGACGGACTAGCTGGTGGCAGTTCTCTGTTTGCGCCTCACCTCCCTCTCTCTGCAGCCAGTTGTGTGTAAACACACACATCTGGCCTCCAGTTAACGGAGTCATTTGTAAGGCTGCTGGTTTAAAAGCAGTTTGAAATCTTTCAAATGTGTCTAATACTTTCATCGGAGCAGTGATGATGAAGCAACAGATGTGTAAATACACTGTGCTACAGGCTTTGGCACGCTAATGGGCTAGCACTAGCCGGTACAGTGGCACATTGTCAATTGGAAACTAAAAATTTCAAGTGCTATAATTGTTAGTTTGTCTACAGTGAAACACAAAAGGAAATAGGAAGCTGGGCCGTCTCTGAAAACAGCATGTTATGAAAAAGGTAAAACTATAAACACCTGAGTGACTGATGCAGGCAAACATCAGGTGGGTTTTGTGGTGGGACGGCACAGCTGCACAGGGTTTATTTCTGGCATTAACACTGACAAACAACCGTTTGACACATATTTTCGACTTCCAGTTGGACTTTAACACAGAAAGTATAACTTCCAATAGTTCTGTTGGTGTTTCTCTTTCGGCCTGTTGCATGGTTTCCGACTGGGGATGCAAAAAGCTGACAGCTTCGAAGGGCAGTGCACTAAATATGCTTCGATTCTAAAACACCAAAGAGCAAAGCATTTCACATTGACACGGTTGAGAAGAGGATGAGAAAATATCTGTTCATCCACTACAGAAAGTGGGCTGTGAAGATTTAACTGCTCTCAACCTCATTGTGGTGCTTATTTGTTTAGTTTTTTTGTACAAATTATGATTTTAGAAATGTTTGTTTTGTCTTGTTTTTATCTATATAGCATGATATAAATATTTTTTGGACTCTGTTATTGTATGAATTCCTTATCTTCCTGTACAATATACTCAAAACTAATTAACTCTGTCTTGGGGTAGTTTAAAAGAAGTTTAATTTGCATCTCTGTTGTCATGAAAACACATTTTTGGTGTTTTATTTTCCACATTAATCCTAAAAACAGAAACCTGGAAGATACTTTTGCAACCCCTCTGCAGCTGGCACTCATTTACTTCCAAAATTCAGAGCTGTGTTTAATTTTATTTACTAAAAATGTTGCCCTGTTGAGGCACAAAGCTCGTGACTTTAACGCGAACCTTATAACAAGAGACCCTGTGGGAAACCCCTATGAAGGCTAAATAAAAAAGGGGGAGGGTGGATTAATGGGCTTAAGCAATGAAGCTTTGTGCATGTGTGCGCACACACACACACAGGCCTGTCTAAACACCCGCTAAACATACATTATATCCCATAAAGAGTGAGGGTCTACACATGCCCTGTCTCTCTCCCTCTCTCTCATACACACACTCCCACCCTCTTCCTGCATTCCTCTCCTGTCTGACACACTTCCAGTAAGCCCACCAGCACTTCAAAAACAGCTCACCACCACCGACCCTCCAGACGACAGCGCCTGCTAAAAACATGCTCGGCCTTGTCGCAAAAAGTTCAGACAAAAAAAAAAGTTCTTGTCGGGAAAACAGGCCACAGGTGCAGCTAAATGTGCCAAAGCCCCCGCAGCTACCTTTATCATTTAAGCATTATATTCACTTACAAAAATGAACTATTGAGTGAATCCCAATCAATGCTTATTTAATTCAATGTACAAATGATAGATAAACAGTTACAGATGCTGGAGGAACAGATTCTCAATTTCATGATTTGTCATTAACTGTATTTACGCAGCTTTAATATTTTTCCTGCCCTGCTATCAGGCGCTCCTTTTTAATGGGCTTTGTTTAAATTTCTTCTTCACATTAGCTGGGCAAACAGCTTTGAGTCAACTCCACAGAGACATATCCACAGTTGCCTGGTTTCTGTACCTAAGTGCTTCGATTACAGACAGAAACGGCAAACAGCAGATTGGAAACAGACAAAGAGAAGAAAGGGTGCTATAATGAGGGCACTATAGCTATTTGCTGAAGCAAAGGCAAAACTCTGATGCGTCGATCTCCTCTTTCCCTCTCTTGTTATCATTCCCATCAGATGTGCATACTCTGTGCTGCTCCACTCGACCGTGTCATCTACCTGTGTGTTTACTTACTCTCTCAGTTCCTTTCCGCAGTGACTTTATCCCTCTTTCTTCTCCTCACATCCCTTCATTTAGTCTCTCCTTGGGCTCCCTATTCATGGATTTCCTAATCCACTCCATCCTCTATTAGCATATTCTCTATGTCTTTCCATTAGCACCTACAGAGTGAGATGGTGGGAGGATATTAAGGAGGTCCTCATTTAAAATGGCTACTGGTAATTAAGCCAGTGAGGGCAGGTGATTAGAGGTATTTATGGTATCAGAGTTTATACATTGAAAAACAGGTGTTTCCCCGAACTGCTGTCATAGCGAGTATGATATAAAACGCTTACCCATTTTGGGTAAGGTCAAACCCTTTTCGCACACTGTTGAGGAAAATTGTTGGATGCCAATGAAATGCAGGCATTACATGTCCATATTAAAGAGGACAAGTAATGTCATGAGAGTATGTATGTGATCGTGTATCAAATACAACACAAGAAGCATGGATGTGAGAGCTGAAGCACGGCAGTGAGGGCCAGGAATTAACCAAAAACCAGAAGAACTGAATATTTTCAACTCCAGTCTTTTATTCTTCCTTTTTTTTGTCCTTCCCAAACCCATCCTCATCAAAATTCAACAACATTCAGAATCCACTTCGTTCGGATCTTGCAATCCAGGTCATAACATTCCGACTGCTTATCTTTGTTTTCTTTCCTCTGAAATAATTGAGGGTGCATGGGGAGGATGAGTATGCTCATTAAAATCTGCAAGTTGAGGAAGTTGTGGTCAGAAAAGTTCTTACATCCCACAATAGTTACCACTTTCATCACATCTGTTCCCTTTTAGCCCAACAGGAGTGAGAAGCCACCCCCCCCCCCTCCCTCCCCCCAAAAAATGATCCAGAAGACAACATGTTGCACATTCTTTTGTTAAGTATATCCCGCTTTTCCTCCTTCACTACAGCAGACCAAAAATAAAAAGTAGCTACTAGTTAATGGGGCAGTACAAAATGCTGCTAATCGTATTAGGGCTAGAAGTGACTGGATTAGAACAATGTTGGCAAGAAAGACACATATACAACACCTCACCTCACTTGTTAACTGAAAGTATAAATGTCATATCATTAGATCACTGACTAAAAAACATAATCCCAGGCCACTGCTTCATCTTTTTACATATACCAATAAAATTCTTGGGACTCTACTGGGAGACACTGGTAGTTACAGCGTTTACTCTCCTGGAGGCAGTTGAGTTTAAGTGGCCAGCAGGGGTGCAGTAGGCTCCCTAATGGGAC